TAGGGTGATGTACAGGAACTAGGGTGATGCACAAGAAGCTAGGGTGCTGCACAGAAAGCTAGGGTGATGTACAGGAAGCTAGGGTGATGTACAGGAAGCTAGGGTGATGTACAGGAAGCTAGGGTGATGTACAGGAAGCTAGGGTGATGTACAGGAAGCTAGGGTGATGCACAGGAAGCTACGGTGATGTACAGGAAGCTAGGGTGATGTACAGGAAGCTAGGGCGATGCACACGAAGCTAGGGTGATGTACAGGAAGCTAGGGTGATGCACAGGAAGCTAGGGTGATGTACAGGAAACTAGGGTGATGCACAGGAAGCTAGGGTGATGGACAGGAAGAGTAGGGTGATGCACAGGAAGCTAGGGTGATGTACAGGAAACTAGGGTGATGCACAAGAAGCTAGGGTGCTGCACAGAAAGCTAGGGTGATGTACAGGAAGCTAGGGTGATGTACAGGAAGCTAGGGTGATGTACAGGAAGCTAGGGTGATGTACAGGAAGCTAGGGTGATGTACAGGAAGCTAGGGTGATGCACAGGAAGCTACGGTGATGTACAGGAAGCTAGGGTGATGTACAGGAAGCTAGGGTGATGACAGGAAGCTACGGTGATGCACAGAAGCTAGGGTGATGTACAGGAAGCTAGGGTGATGTACAGGAAGCTAGGGTGATGTACAGGAAGCTAGGGTGATGCACAGGAAGCTAGGGTAATGCACAGGAAGCTAGGGCGATGCACACGAAGCTAGGGTGATGCACAGGAAGCTAGGGTGATGCACAGGAAGCTAGGGTGATGCACAGGAAGCTAGGGTGATGCACAGGAAGCTAGGGTGATGTACAGGAAGCTAGGGTGATGTACAGGAAGCTAGCGTGATGTACAGGAAGCTAGGGTGATGTACAGGAAGCTAGGGTGATGCACAGGAAGCTACGGTGATGTACAGGAAGCTAGGGTGATGACAGGACGCTAGGGTGATGTACAGGAAACTAGGGTGATGCACAGGAAGCTAGGGTAATGCACAGGAAGCTAGGGTGATGTACAGGAAGCTAGGGTGATGTACAGGAAGCTAGGGTGATGTACAGGAAGCTAGGGTGATGTACAGGAAGCTAGGGTGATGTACAGGAAGCTAGGGTGATGTACAGGAAGCTAGGGTGATGTACAGGAAGCTAGGGTGATGCACAGGAAGCTACGGTGATGTACAGGAAGCTAGGGTGATGTACAGGAAGCTACGGTGATGGACAGGAAGCTACGGTGATGCACAAGAAGCTAGGGTGATGCACAGGAAGCTAGGGTGATCTACAGGAAGCTAGGGTGATGTACAGGAAGCTAGGGTGATGTACAGGAAGCTAGGGTGATGTACAGGAAGCTAGGGTGATGTACAGGAAGCTAGGGTGATGCACAGGAAGCTAGGGTAATGCACAGGAAGCTAGGCGATGCACACGAAGCTAGGGTGATGCACAGGAAGCTAGGGTGATGTACAGGAAGCTAGGGTGATGCACAGGAAGCTAGGGTGAAGTACAGGAAGCTAGGGTGATGCACAAGAAGCTAGGGTGATGCACAGGAAGCTGGGTGATGCACAGGAAGCTAGGGTGATGCACAGGAAGCTAGGGTGATGCACAGGAAGCTGGGTGATGCACAGGAAGCTAGGGTGATGGACAGGAAGCTAGGGTGATGCACAGGAAGCTAGGGTGATGTACAGGAAACTAGGGTGATGCACAGGAAGCTAGGGTGATGACAGGAAGTAGGGTGATGCACAGGAAGCTAGGGTGATGTACAGGAAACTAGGGTGATGCACAAGAAGCTAGGGTGCTGCACAGAAGCTAGGGTGATGTACAGGAGCTAGGGTGATGTACAGGAAGCTAGGGTGATGTACAGGAAGCTAGGGTGATGTACAGGAAGCTAGGGTGATGTACAGGAAGCTAGGGTGATGCACAGGAAGCTACGGTGATGTACAGGAAGCTAGGGTGATGTACAGGAAGCTAGGGTGATGACAGGAAGCTACGGTGATGCACAAGAAGCTAGGGTGATGTACAGGAAGCTAGGGTGATGTACAGGAAGCTAGGGTGATGTACAGGAAGCTAGGGTGATGCACAGGAAGCTAGGGTAATGCACAGGAAGCTAGGGCGATGCACACGAAGCTAGGGTGATGCACAGGAAGCTAGGGTGATGTACAGGAAGCTAGGGTGATGCACAGGAAGCTAGGGTGAAGTACAGGAAGCTAGGGTGATGTACAGGAAGCTAGCGTGATGTACAGGAAGCTAGGGTGATGTACAGGAAGCTAGGGTGTGTACAGGAAGCTAGGGTGATGCACAGGAAGCTAGGGTAATGCACAGGAAGCTAGGGCGATGCACACGAAGCTAGGGTGATGCACAGGAAGCTAGGGTGATGTACAGGAAGCTAGGGTGATGCACAGGAAGCTAGGGTGAAGTACAGGAAGCTAGGGTGATGCACAAGAAGCTAGGGTGATGCACAGGAAGCTAGGGTGATGTACAGGAAGCTAGGGTGATGTACAGGAAGCTAGCGTGATGTACAGGAAGCTAGGGTGATGTACAGGAAGCTAGGGTGATGCACAGGAAGCTACGGTGATGTACAGGAAGCTAGGGTGATGGACAGGAAGCTAGGGTGATGTACAGGAAGCTAGGGTGATGTACAGGAAGCTAGGGTGATGTACAGGAAGCTAGGGTGATGTACAGGAAGCAAGGGTGATGTTCAGGAAGCAAGGGGGATGTACAGGAAGCTAGGGTGACGCACAGGAAGCTACGGTGATGTACAGGAAGCTAGGGTGATGTACAGGAAGCTAGGGTGATGTACAGGAAGCTAGGGTGATGTACAGGAAGCTAGGGTGATGGACTGGACAGGAAGCTACGGTGATGCACAAGAAGCTAGGGTGATGTACAGGAAGCTAGGGTGATGTACAGGAAGCTAGGGTGATGTACAGGAAGCTAGTGTGATGTACAGGAAGCTAGGGTGATGTACAGGAAGCTAGGGTGATGTACAGGAAGCTAGGGTGATGCACACGAAACTAGGGTGATGCACAGGAAGCTAGGGCAATGCACAGGAAGCTAGGGTGATGCACAGGAAGCTAGGGTGATGTACAGGAAGCTAGGGTGATGTACAGGAAGCTAGGGTGATGTACAGGAAGCTAGGGTGATGCACAAGAAGCTAGGGTGATGCACAGGAAGCTAGGGTGATGTACAGGAAGCTAGGGTGATGTACAGGAAGCTAGGGTGATGTACAGGAAGCTAGGGTGATGTACAGGAAGCTAGGGGGATGTACAGGAAGCTAGGGTGATGCACAGGAAGCTTGGGTGATGCACAGGAAGCTAGGGTGATGAACAGGAAGCTAGGGTGATGCACAGGAAGCTAGGGTGATGTACAGGAAACTAGGGAGATGCACAAGAAGCTAGGGTGATGCACAGAAAGCTAGGGTGATGTACAGGAAGCTAGGGTGATGTACAGGAAGCTAGGATGATGCACAGGAAGCTACGGTGATGTACAGGAAGCTAGGTTGATGCACAGGAAGCTAGGGGGATGTACAGGAAGCTAGGGTGATGTACAGGAAACTAGGGTGATGGTCAGGAAGCTACGGTGATGCACAAGAAGCTAGGGTGATGCACAGGAAGCTAGGGTGATGCACAGGAAGCTAGGGTGATGCACAGGAAGCTAGGGTGATGTACAGGAAGCTAGGGTGATGCACAGGAAGCTAGGGTGATGGACAGGAAGCTAGGGTGATGCACAGGAAGCTAGGGTGATGCACAGGAAGCTAGGGTGATGTACAGGAAGCGAGGGTGATGCACAAGAAGCTAGGGTGATGCACAGGAAGCTAGGGTGATGTACAGGAAGCTAGGGTGATGTACAGGAAGCTAGGGTGATGTACAGGAAGCTAGGGTGATGCACAGGAAGCTAGGGTGATGCACAGGAAGCTAGGGTGATGCACAGGAAGCTAGGGTGATGCACAGGAAGCTAGGGTGATGCACAGGAAGCTAGGGTGATGCACAGGAAGCTAGGGTGATGCACAGGAAGCTTGGGTGATGCACAGGAAGCTAGGGTGATGTACAGGAAACTAGGGTGATGCACAGAAGCTAGGTGATGCACAGAAGCTAGGGTGATGTACAGGAAGCTACGGTGATGTACAGGAAGCTAGGGTGATGTACAGGAAGCTAGGGTGATGTACAGGAAGCTAGGGTGATGTACAGGAAGCTAGGGTGACAGGAAGCTACCTACGTTGGAAAAAACGCGTTTGGCGTTTTAAACGCTAGCGTTTAAACGCTAGCGTTTTAACGCAAAACGCTTAGCCAGGAGTGGAGCAAACGCTAGGAAAACGCTGGCCCGGGCAGGGTTAAAAAAAATTTCGGGCAGGGAAAAAAACGGGCTTCGGGGGGAGGAAGGGGAAAGGCACTTTCATCCACCACCCCCATTAATAAAATATTAAAAGTTTCAGGGTACATTCACAAGCCAACCTAACATCCATTCATCACATCACACACACCTACCCCCTCTCCCATGCAACACAACCAGGATGCATCTTTCCCACAACCAGCCGCTGCGAGTACTCCACTTCATGCTCTGCAACACTATGCTGCGGGCAAACCCTAACACGAGCCTCCCCTGCCACCCCTGCCACCTCTTCCCCCCCAGCCCCTCCCTACCCTCCCATCTCCAACTCCCTTGATCCTCAAAGCTCCACTAACAATACTCATCATCCAACTCTTTGCCCTCCCCCCTCCTCCTCGACCACGTCCTCCTCATCCACCAACAAGTACCCCTCTGGAAGCGGGAGGTCAGGGATGTTCCCAGCCACAATCCCAAGTCCCTCATCCCTCTTGTGCCAGTTGCGCACAACCCCCCAGTTGTGCGCAATGTAAACCAGATCCTTCAGCTTCTCCGAGCCGAGCTTGTTGCGCCGAGCAGTGTGGACCGAATCCCACACTGCCCAGTTGCGCTCGCATGCAGAAGCAGACACCGGCTGAGTGAGGACACGGCAAGCAAGTTTGGCCAGCTCCGGGCAGTCGGTGTGCCGGTCCACCCACGCACCATGCAACCCTTCCCCTCCTTCACGGCCAATCGATCTCTAATGGCACCAGGCATGCCAAAGCTGCCCTCGAGTTTCAGGAAGGACATGAGTCCCTCCTGCAAGACGAGGGTGGCGCGCCTCTCCCCCACACCCTTCCTGTAATGGTCTGTCCCTCGTAGTGGCGGGAGATGAAGTCTTTGAAGACTTTGGTGCACTCCACATCATCCAGGAAGATCTCTTCCACCTGGTTGCCCGGATTAAGGATCCGACCAACCACGTGGAGGGGGCAGGCAAGGCTGCCATCCCAGCGCGTCTTGACAAACTTGTTAATCTCCCTTTCCTCCCCCCTCGTCAACAGCTCCTGCCCATCCTCCCCCTCAAGCAGCTGCTTCACATCCACAGTCAGCTGCAGCATGTGATCATAGATTCTGCCCATCATCCCTTTCGCCGTGGAATCGGTTGCTCGCATTGCCATGAATGGCAACTTCATCAGCTTCACAAAGAAGGCAGCCGCCTTCCACCAAATCTTGTCCTCGAGGTGGGCTTGGAAGGCTTCCCCTGCACTCCTCCGCACCCCCGTTGCCCACAACTCCCACCCCTCCGCTGTGCACCATCTGTAGCAGCGACAGTTTGACCTCAACAAAGCCGAGACAATGCGATAAATTGTGTCCCGAACCTTGTTTCCGGCCGGACGCACCACCTGCAAGCCCTTTCCGCCTTGCACCTCTGGACTCAAAGAATCCACGCGTCCAGTGATGGCTTCCGAATGTAAGCGATGATTTCGCCGCCCCGCTCGACCACCCCCTTGGCCCAAGCCATCTTATCCACATCCTCCATGAGGAGGTCGAGCACGTGCGTGGCACACGGCACATGCTCGATGTGGGGCCACTCATTGAAGATCTCCTTGTAGGCGGCGGCGTCGTTGCTGCCCCCATCCATGCAGAGAGCAACTATGTTCTCCGCTCCGACTTTCTCCACTATCGGCCTTAGGATACTAGCGATGTACCCGCCTGTTTTTTTTTCCATCTTGCAATCCACGCTTTCCATCAAGACGGCGCGCTGTCGTTGATCATCAAGACGTTGGCCTGCGGACGACCGCATCTGTCGGTCATCATGTCTGAGCTATCGTCACTCCATGCACCCAGCTGGCCACAACCGGTCCCAGCGCCATCTCAATCCGCACGCGGCATTGTTGCAAGCCAGCGCCGCCGACGTTCTTGCGCTTAGGGGGACATAGCCACTTCCTGCGAGGCCGATGCACTCCACGGCGTTGCGCCAGAGAGGGTGGTCCGCGAGGTGCTCCGGGAGGCGAAGGCCCGCGAACATGAGGCAGATTGCCTCGTCCGCAGCCTTCTTCGCATCCGCCTTCTCGTCGCCAAAGAAGTCGGTTATGCGGTTGCGCTTATGGCCGCTAACCGCTTCAATGGCGGCTACCTCGGCGGAGCGGATGTCTTCGGCCTCCTGAAGCCTAGCTTCGTAGTGAGTGCGGACCCTCTTCAGCCACCTTCTTTGTTACCGCAGTGCAGAGTTTCACCTCACGGCGGCGCCCCCCCGTCCAATTCGTGAGATGCTGAGCCAAACGCCCCACGGATCCGCTAAACTTGTGGGTGCAAACCTTGCAGACGTACTGCTTACCGCGGGAGCTAGAAACTAAGGGCACTCTGAAGTGCTGGTAAACTATGTGCGTGCTATCTTCCTCAAATTGGGGAGAACTTGAGGCCTCACCTGAGGCAACATTAGCGTTGGTCGCCATTGAAATAGGAGTTTCGCCAGCGTCAGCCATAGCTTAGCATAAAAGAAATAAGGAGCTGGAAAAAACGAAACACGCTGAGATCTCGGGAAATGACGTGAGGAGTGAGATCCCGATCTGGGTTTAGCACAATGGTTGGAGTCTACGATGCCTCTCTGTTGAAGAGAGGGTTTGTAGAGACGTGGTTGGGTTGACTAGATAATTTGTGGTCTAGTGCGGTTGGGTGTTTTTCGGGGGTTGGGAGTTGGGAAGACATCTTGAGATTGCGAGGTGGCGAGTCATTCCGTTTTTCCCAGCGCGTCGCAAACTGGTTTCGAAAATTCAAAATTTCGGAATTTTTTTTGCGGGCAGCCCGCTCTTGCGTTTGCGCGTTTGCCTAGCGTTTGGGCGTTTGCGTTGGAACGCTAGCGTTCGAACGCCAAACGCTTGGCTGTTCGAGCGTTTTTTCCAACGTAGGAAGCTACGGTGATGTGCAGGAAGCTAGGGTGATGTACAGGAAGCTAGGGTGATGGACAGGAAGCTACGGTGATGCACAAGAAGCTAGGGTGATGTCCAGGAAGCTAGGGTGATGTACAGGAAGCTAGGGTGATGTACAGGAAGCTAGGGTGATGCACAAGAAGCTAGGGTGATGTACAGGAAGCTAGGGTGATGTACAGGAAGCTAGGGTGATGTACAGGAAGCTAGGGTGATGTACAGGAAGCTAGGGTGATGTACAGGAAGCTAGGGTGATGTACAGGAAGCTAGGGTGATGCACAGGAAGCTAGGGTAATGCACAGGAAGCTAGGGCGATGCACACGAAGCTAGGGTGATGCACAGGAAGCTAGGGTGATGCACAGGAAGCTAGGGTGAAGTACAGGAAGCTAGGGTGATGCACAAGAAGCTAGGGTGATGGACAGGAAGCTAGGGTGATGCACAGAAAGCTAGGGTGATGCACAGGAAGCTAGGGTGATGCACAGGAAGCTTGGGTGATGCACAGGAAGCTAGGGTGATGGACAGGAAGCTAGGGTGATGCACAGGAAGCTAGGGTGATGTACAGGAAACTAGGGTGATGCACAGGAAGCTAGGGTGATGGACAGGAAGGTAGGGTGATGCACAGGAAGCTAGGGTGATGTACAGGAAACTAGGGTGATGCTCAAGAAGCTAGGGTGATGCACAGAAAGCTAGGGTGATGTACAGGAAGCTAGGGTGATGTACAGGAAGCTAGGGTGATGTACAGGAAGCTAGGGTGATGTACAGGAAGCTAGGGTGATGTACAGGAAGCTAGGGTGATGCACAGGAAGCTACGGTGATGTACAGGAAGCTAGGGTGATGTACAGGAAGCTAGGGTGATGGACAGGAAGCTACGGTGATGCACAAGAAGCTAGGGTGATGTACAGGAAGCTAGGGTGATGTACAGGAAGCTAGGGTGATGTACAGGAAGCTAGGGTGATGTACAGGAAGCTAGGGTGATGTACAGGAAGCTAGGGTGATGTACAGGAAGCTAGGGTGATGCACAGGAAGCTAGGGTAATGCACAGGAAGCTAGGGCGATGCACACGAAGCTAGGGTGATGCACAGGAAGCTAGGGTGATGTACAGGAAGCTAGGGTGATGCACAGGAAGCTAGGGTGAAGTACAGGAAGCTAGGGTGATGCACAAGAAGCTAGGGTGATGCACAGGAAGCTAGGGTGATGTACAGGAAGCTAGGGTGATGTACAGGAAGCTAGCGTGATGTACAGGAAGCTAGGGTGATGTACACGAAGCTAGGGTGATGCACAGAAAGCTAGGGTGATGCACAGGAAGCTAGGGTGATGGACAGGAAGCTAGGGTGATGTACAGGAAGCTAGGGTGATGTACAGGAAGCTAGGGTGATGTACAGGAAGCTAGGGTGATGTACAGGAAGCTAGGGTGATGTTCAGGAAGCAAGGGGGATGTACAGGAAGCTAGGGTGATGCACAGGAAGCTACGGTGATGTACAGGAAGCTAGGGTGATGTACAGGAAGCTAGGGTGATGTACAGGAAGCTAGGGTGATGTACAGGAAGCTAGGGTGATGGACTGGACAGGAAGCTACGGTGATGCACAAGAAGCTAGGGTGATGTACAGGAAGCTAGGGTGATGTACAGGAAGCTAGGGTGATGTACAGGAAGCTAGGGTGATGTACAGGAAGCTAGGGTGATGTACAGGAAGCTAGGGTGATGTACAGGAAGCTAGGGTGATGCACAAGAAGCTAGGGTGATGTACAGGAAGCTACGGTGATGTACAGGAAGCTAGGGTGATGTACAGGAAGCTAGGGTGATGGACAGGAAGCTACGGTGATGCACAAGAAGCTAGGGTGATGTACAGGAAGCTAGGGTGATGTACAGGAAGCTAGGGTGATGTACAGGAAGCTAGGGTGATGTACAGGAAGCTAGGGTGATGTACAGGAAGCTAGGGTGATGCACAGGAAGCTACGGTGATGTACAGGAAGCTAGGGTGATGTACAGGAAGCTAGGGTGATGGACAGGAAGCTACGGTGATGCACAAGAAGCTAGGGTGATGTACAGGAAGCTAGGGTGATGTACAGGAAGCTAGGGTGATGTACAGGAAGCTAGGGTGATGTACAGGAAGCTAGGGTGATGTACAGGAAGCTAGGGTGATGTACAGGAAGCTAGGGTGATGTACAGGAAGCTAGGGTGATGCACAGGAAGCTAGGGTAATGCACAGGAAGCTAGGGCGATGCACACGAAGCTAGGGTGATGCACAGGAAGCTAGGGTGATGTACAGGAAGCTAGGGTGATGCACAGGAAGCTAGGGTGAAGTACAGGAAGCTAGGGTGATGCACAAGAAGCTAGGGTGATGCACAGGAAGCTAGGGTGATGTACAGGAAGCTAGGGTGATGTACAGGAAGCTAGCGTGATGTACAGGAAGCTAGGGTGATGTACACGAAGCTAGGGTGATGCACAGGAAGCTAGGGTGATGCACAGGAAGCTAGGGTGATGGACAGGAAGCTAGGGTGATGTACAGGAAGCTAGGGTGATGTACAGGAAGCTAGGGTGATGTTCAGGAAGCAAGGGGGATGTACAGGAAGCTAGGGTGATGCACAGGAAGCTACGGTGATGTACAGGAAGCTAGGGTGATGTACAGGAAGCTAGGGTGATGTACAGGAAGCTAGGGTGATGGACTGGACAGGAAGCTACGGTGATGCACAAGAAGCTAGGGTGATGTACAGGAAGCTAGGGTGATGTACAGGAAGCTAGGGTGATGTACAGGAAGCTAGTGTGATGTACAGGAAGGTAGGGTGATGTACAGGAAGCTAGGGTGATGTACAGGAAGCTAGGGTGATGCACAGGAAACTAGAGTGATGCACAGGAAGCTAGGGCGATGCACAGGAAGCTAGGGTGATGCACAGGAAGCTAGGGTGATGTACAGGAAGCTAGGGTGATGCACAGGAAGCTAGGGTGATGTACAGGAAGCAAGGGTGATGCACAAGAAGCTAGGGTGATGCACAGGAAGCTAGGGTGATGTACAGCAAGCTAGGGTGATGTACAGGAAGCTAGGGTGAGGTACAGGAAGCTAGGGTGATGTACAGGAAGCTAGGGGGATGTACAGGAAGCTAGGGTGATGCACAGGAAGCTAGGGTGATGCACAGGAAGCTAGGGTGATGAACAGGAAGCTAGGGTGATGCACAGAAAGCTAGGGTGATGTACAGGAAGCTAGGGTGATGTACAGGAAGCTAGGATGATGCACAGGAAGCTACGGTGATGTACAGGAAGCTAGGGTGATGCACAGGAAGCTAGGGTGATGAACAGGAAGCTAGGGTGATGCACAGAAAGCTAGGGTGATGTACAGGAAGCTAGGGTGATGTACAGGAAGCTAGGATGATGCACAGGAAGCTACGGTGATGTACAGGAAGCTAGGTTGATGCACAGGAAGCTAGGGTGATGTACAGGAAGCTAGGGTGATGTACAGGAAGCTAGGGTGATGTACAGGAAGCTAGGGTGCTAGGGTGTGACTAGGGAGTGAGCGAATAGCAAAGAGACGGTGTGTCGTGAATACCTGCTCCGACGTGAGAGGCGGTTGGCCAGCGTTGCGAACAAGGAGGAACTTGTAGACAAGGAAGCCTTCCTTCCCCGGCAGGTATGTGTGCTCCTTCACCTACAAATTTGGGGTGCACAGAGCAGTTCCTCTCCCCGTCGGTGTAATGCAGAGTAACGGCTGAAAAACATAATTGCTTCTTCGTCTGTCAAGAAAGATGAAGGCGTTTCTACGCATTGGTTGAGGTGGCAAAAGTATACCACTTTCCTACGAAGTCTGGTTAAAATGCACCGACATGAACAGTAAGTCGAAGTAGCGATCAAGCGCACCTTGTAAAGGCCATCGTACGTGAACGCCCGTTTGGTGTCGGACTCCTTGCAGTTGTGGCCTCGAATGACGCGCACGTCGTTCTTCACTTCGATGCTGTTCTGCACCAGTGCAAGAGCGGCAAGGGTGTAAGGCAAGCGGAGGAGCACGAGGGAGGAGGAAACAGGTCAATGATGTAGCAGAGAGGGGAGCAGATGTTCTCATCTGAGGCTCCAACTCCCACATGGCTCTGTGACAGCGTTTCGTAATCGTTTTCCTTCCATTCGAGTTTATCTATCCACTTCATCTCGTTGCCGCTGTTGCCCATGTTGAACGGGTATCAATCGTGTATGTCAATCACTGGTATTCCTCGGTAGGTAGGACATTTCGAACGTCCCTCATAGCTGGACAACACCTCTGAAGGTCATGCTCAAAGTGCTTTTTGCCACACCTCACCAACTCACTGTTGCACTCATAGACAGTTGTCTGTCCAATCGTCACCCTTGATGGCCCATATGGCGTGCCATAAGTTGTGACGTATGTAGGTTGAGGCTTGAGCCCGGCCGGCATGTGCCATGCAGGTGCACTGCGTGGCTGTTGAGTGCAGCTGCCCTTGCCCACAAACTGAAGAGGCTGGAGCTGTTCACATATATGGTATGGATGGACACACCATCTCACCAGTACAGAACCATGGACAAAACTACTGCCAGGACATTTTGGACTCGTACCAACCAACCACGTGCTTCTGAGTCTCATTCTCCCAACATGTCACAGGTTTATCAATCCCATAAAAGATGACTGGGAAGAAAATGACTTCCACGGAGGTCGACAATACATGTCCTTCAAGACGTACCATGAGAGCCAGGTTCCCAGCCACTAAAGCTTGATGTGCCACTTGTTTCCGGGAACCCAGCAGGTTGTTGCCCCCCTCCCCCGTGTACCAGATGCGGTTTGCATTGTCCTTGTCGTCCTCGTAGATCCCCGACACCACCACCGCCACCGCAATTGACTTGCCATAGGGACTCTCCTGATGGACCATGGGGCGAATGACAAGTGCAGGGAGCGACGCGACAGCAGCATTTTTTTGGTTTTTTTTTTTTGGTTTTTTTTTTTGTTTTTTTTTGTTTTTTTTAGCGACAGCAGCATTATGTGAGCTTGTACTCCAACATCAACTCATCCTACCCTCCCCCTCCCCGCCCTCCTCACTTGCCTCCTCTCGTCGCCCTCCCCCCCCCCCTCCCCGCAAGCTTCAGCCTGCGTTAACCTGTACGGCGACTTGCATGTTACCTCGTTCCGCCTTCGTCTGATGAGTTGGTTTCACGCATCATGCAATACGCGCTTCACGCAACACGTGCAACCTGCAAGCAATGTGTACATCGTGCAAAACGCACATCACAGGGCAACTTCCCTACCCATCCGCTCAATGATCTTCACACAGTGTTTGCATCAAGTCCACAGGAACACTGGAAAGTAACACAGCTAGTGCCTGAAAGGCCGAGTCCCGGATCGCAAAGGATCTCAAGCGAGGGTGTCAGCCCCCACCCCCTGAAAATCTATTTTCGCATCAATTCTTCACAAGTGCTGCTGCTGCTCTTCTGAGAATTCTCAAACCAGGTTCCAAGAATAAAACAATCTTCGCAACCTTGAATTCAACACATGCAAACGTGCGGACAAGGTTAGACTATGGGAGCAGCATGTACCCTCTGCAGGACGCAGTCGATGCCTTTGAGCCAGTGCGTGTGCATGCCCACCACCACCATCTCTGCTCGCGCGAAAAAACGATCGCCCACATGTACTCCTGTCAAAGAAACACCACAAGGCATGGGAATTCATGCTCCAACATGCATCAAGGTGCCACTATGCGCCACCTGCTGACTTCATATTCCGCGCATACACCTCCTCATCTCTAGATTATCACAGTGCAATCAATGCGTGGACACCGTCCAGTCATGCCATTTCTTTGCCATCCCCATCGCAAAGGCCCTTCATCATACATGTGGGTGATACACATGGGCATAGCGCCGAGCCGAGCTGGCTCAGGCTCGAGTTGGGGTCGAGCCGGGCCCCAGTCGAGGCGAGGCGAGGCGAGCCATCTCAAGCTGGTCACGTATTTTGCCTGGCTCGGCTCGCCCAAACCGTGTCAAGCCGGGGCCCGGCTTGACTCGACAGTGTCACACTGACTATGTCAACTCTCGGGCAGAGAGAAAATCTGAAGCTACGAAATTCGAATTTGACCCCTCTGATGGGGGTTGCAGAAAACCAGATGTGGAAAACGCCAGATCTGGTTTTCCAACTTCGTCCTAGATGCTAGTCGCGTGGCTCTACAACAAGCTGGAAACGAGCCGGCTCAAAATGAGCTCGTCGGGCGTCGGCGTGTTGAGCCAAGCCGAGCCACCGGCTGGAGCGGCTCGGCTCGTCCCATGTCTAGTATAGTATGTGAGCGTAGAATTTGCCCTCGCTGGCCCGGTTGACCCATCCCTGAATGCTCCTGTGGATGCGAGGGTGTCATCGCCTTCGTAATGCTCAACCATTCGCCTCTAAAGCAAGCCACTAGCCATGAGCCGAGCGGCGTCTGCCCATTCACGGCTCGTCAAAACTAGGACAAGCCAAGCCGTCTCCCAAGCCGGACCTAGCTCGGCAGGTCTGCTCCTGTGGGCAATCTAAGCAGATTTGGTATTTTCCCCAGCGCCGCCAGAAGCACACCAGCGGGCGTTTCGCTCATCAGGTCCTCTGAGGGCCGGTTCGCTCATCAGGTCCTCTGAGGGCCGGTTTGCTCATCAGGTCCTCTGAGGGCCGGTTTGCTCATCAGGTCCTCTGAGGGCCGGTTCGCTCATCAGGTCCTCTGAGGGCCGGTTCGCTCATCAGGTCCTCTGAGGTCCATCCGTCGCCGCCCTGCCCGCTTGCCTCTACTCGGGACCAACCGACCCGCGGAAAAAAGGAGCTCGGCTCGCCCTTTACCCGAGCCAAGCTGGCGGAGACGAGCTGCGGCTCGGCCCCATGCTCGTGCCTGCACCATGGAGCCTCAAGAGCCTCTTTGGTTGTGGTTTCCTCTGGCTGAGCTTAGTGCCCCGCACCAATGTCACTGTCCCTGAGGTGCCAGCACAAGCACGATACGTGTGACCAAGGACCCAGTGCTTCCGCGAAGCTGTTTTAAGCACATCGGGCGCACACACTGGCCCATTCAAGAGCAGGTGGAGCAGCGTGATCATCAACGTCAGCCAGGTTGGTGATTGTGTCAATCTTACGGGAAACTTTACCAGGGCCCTCTTTTAGACTTCTCACAGTGCAATTCAAGACGTATTGGGCATTGACCCACGTAGTCCCTTTGAAGCTGCGTGCTTCAGGGCTTTCCACGCTAGGCTTTGTGCCATACTCTACAATTACATGCGCACATTTGGTACGTTGGCACCCGAGCTGCTAGTTCATTCACTACCTCTTCATTCACTACGTCTTCATTCACTACCTCTTCATTCACTACCTCTTCATTCACTACCTCTTCATTCACTACCTCTTCATTCACTACCTCTTCATTCACTACCTCTTCATTTCACTACCTCTTCATCACTACCTCTTCATTCACTACCTCTTCATTCACTACCTCTTCATTCACTACCTCTTCATTCACTACCTCTTCATTCACTACCTCTTCATTCACTACCTCTTCATTCACACTACCTCTTCATTCACTACCTCTTCATTCACTACCTCTTCATTCACTACCTCTTCATTCACTACCTCTTCATTCACTACCTCTTCATTCACTACCTCTTCATTCACTACCTCTTCATTCACTACCTCTTCATTCCTCCTCCATTCACTACCTCTTCATTCACTACCTCTTCATTCACTACCTCTTCATTCACTACCTCTTCATTCACTACCTCCTCTTCATTCACTACCTCTTCATTCACTACCTCTTCATTCACTACCTCTTCATTCACTACCTCTTCATTCACTACCTCTTCATTCACTACCTCTTCATTCACTACCTCTTCATTCACTACCTCTTCATTCACTACCTCTTCATTCACTACCTCTTCATTCACTACCTCTTCATTCACTACCTCTTTCATTCACTACCTCTTCATTCACTACCTCTTCATTCACTACCTCTTCATTCACTACCTCTTCATTCACTACCTTCTTCATTCACTACCTCTTCATTCACTACCTCTTCATTCACTACCTCTTCATTCACTACTTTCATTCTTCATTCACTACCTCTCTTCATTCACTACCTCTTCATTCACTACCTCTTCATTCACTACCTCTTCATTCACTACCTCTTCATTCACTACCTCTTCATTCACTACCTCTTCATTCACTACCTCTTCATTCACTACCTCTTCATTCACTACCTCTTCATTCACTACCTCTTCACTTCCACTACCTCTTCATTCACTACCTCTTCATTCACTACCTCTTCATTCACTACCTCTTCATTCACTACCTCTTCATTCACTACCTCTTCATTCACTACCTCTTCATTCACTACCTCTTCATTCACTACCTGTGCAATCTGTACCCTAATCCATAGATTCGTGCTGGAAGTGGTTGAAAGCAAGGCGAGATATCATACCCACCTGCGTGCACACCGCTCTGCAAAGACATGGATAGAGCAGGACGAAAACAGTGGTGGATTACACGCACCTGGAACGGCCCAATAGTTTTTGTCTTGGGCATCAAACCTTTCTCCCCCATCTGCCAACGCAGCATGGGTGAACGAGGAAGAGAGAAAGGAAGTGAGACGTGCGTGACAGCAGGGGCAGCTGAACATCTCCATTCTTGGGCGGCCAGTAAACACTCCACAAAACACTGCCCTAGAGCCTGCCCGTGTATACGGTCACGCCATCTCACCAAGACGTAAGCTCAGGCAAGGACATGGCAGCGGTGGGTTGCATAAGCTCACGCGTGCACCGGGTGTCATTCAGAGAAATCCATTCGCCCTCGATGCTGTCATAAGGTCACATCCCTGTGCGCCTACATGCACACCAGCACCTAGCAGCAGCGCTCACCACTTTGATGGCAACAAGGTCCGGCCGCTTCGAAGGGGCCTTTGCATTCCTCGCTTTCCCCTTCAGCTTGCTCTTGGGCACCCGCTCCCCATTCGGCCCAATCAAGCCCAGCCTCTTGCGCTCCTTGGTCACTCGCTCCTCCTCCGTCTGCCGTGGAGGTGGCGTGCCCAAGGAGGTGGCGTGCCCGCAATGGAAAGGAACACAAACGCTGTGCAGGTTGAGTATGATTTACTCACATGTACAAGTTCTCCAGTCATAAAACAATACCCTATGACCAGTGGTAGGACACACAAGGTGCAAGTTGCAAAAAGTGGAAACTGAATGTTCAACTGATGCCATGACTGCCAGCAGGGACTGTCTACTCGACCTGGGCACGTATCCGAAGCTTGCTGCTCTGGGAGGCAGGTCACCTTGATAGCTCTCCTGTTGAACAGGCTGTAGAGCTTGAGAGCCCTCTTCACTCGAGCACCAGCTTGCTCCTCGTCCTCCTCTTCCCCCCCATCCTCCTCATCCAACCCCCCAGCATCTTTCTCATCATCAACATCACCAGACATCGTATCCGCCTCCTCCTCATCGGCCTCCTCCTCCTCCTCCTCCCCACCACTTGCACCACCATCAGAACTTCCTCTTGCGCTGCACTTCCCCCTTGTCTTCCTCCCCTTCCCCCTGGCTTTCCTCTCCTGCATCCCTGCACCTGCACCTACACCTGCACCTGCACCTGCACGTCCCCTCACCTGCCCTTTCGCCCTCACACCACCACCATTCCTCGCCCCACCCACGCCATCACACCCGAGCGCCAAGACAAACCCTTCTCCCCTTTTGCTCTCCTCCCCTCCAGCCTTTCTTGCCCCACCCACCACTCTGGACGCCAACCCCCCACGCCTCCGCGCGTACATCCTGCCCCACGCCTGCAGCACCTGCTCCTGCTGGCCCTCATGCCCGCCACCACCCGTGCCATGGCTCTCCCACCTCTCACTGCCCGAGGCGCTCGACGACTGCCCACTGCCGCTCCTGCCGCTCCAGCTGCTGCCACTGCCACTGCCACTGCCATTGCCACTGCTGCTGGTGCTGCTACAGACCACTCGCCTGCGCTTGTACTGAAGCTGCTGCACCCGCCCCTGCCCCCCACCCGCCGTGGGCTGGCACGGCGAGCAGCAGCCCCTGCAGCGGGTGGAGCACTTGCCGGGCGGGTCCGGATTGGGCACCTGAGGGATGGCAGGGGGTGGGGGGTTGGAAGGAGAGAGCTTCTTCCTGGGAGCGGCTGGTACAATGGAGGTGGGTGGGTTGGCACGGTGAAAGGAGACACGACTCCTCCAGCAACCGGTGCCTTGCAAGCCCCCAGGCCCCCGACACCCCTGCAGTCACGCTCCACCTCCCGAATTACCATTTAGACCGTTTCTATGCAGATAGTAACAGCCCGGTACCTATCGTTTCGACGGCCTGCATTGGCCCTCCCTCACGTCCCCTCCCTTTCAGCTCATTACCCTCCCTTTCCTCCCCTCTCGTTCTGCTCATTACCCTCCCTTTCCTCCCCTCTCGTTCTGCTCATTACCCTCCCTTTCCTCCCCTCTCGTTCTGCTCATTACCCTCCCTTTCCTCCCCTCTCGTTCTGCTCATTACCCTCCCTTTCCTCCCCTCTCGTTCTGCTCATTACCCTCCATTTCCTCCCCTCTCGTTCTGCTCATTACCCTCCCTTTCCTCCCCTCTCGTTCTGCTCATTACCCCTCCCTTTCCTCCCCTCTCCTTCTGCTCATTACCCTCCCTTTCCTCCCTCTCCTTCTGCTCATTACCCTCCCTTTCCTCCCCTCTCCTTCTGCTCATTACCCTCCCTTTCCTCCCCTCTCGTTCTGCTCATTACCCTCCCTTTCCTCCCCTCTCCTTCTGCTCATTACCCTCCCTCCTCCCCTCTCGTTCTGCTCATTACCCTCCCTTTCCTCCCCTCTCGTTCTGCTCATTACCCTCCCTTTCCTCCCTCTCCTTCTGCTCATTACCCTCCCTTTCCTCCCCTCTCGTTCTGCTCATTACCCTCCCTTTCCTCCCCTCTCGTTCTGCTCATTACCCTCCCTTTCCTCCCCTCTCGTTCTGCTCATTACCCTCCCTTTCCTCCCCTCTCCTTCTGCTCATTACCCTCCCTTTCCTCCCCTCTCGTTCTGCTCATTACCCTCCCTTTCCTCCCCTCTCGTTCTGCTCATTACCCTCCCTTTCCTCCCCTCTCCTTCTGCTCATTACCCTCCCTTTCCTCCCCTCTCGTTCTGCTCATTACCTCCCTTTCCTCCCCTCTCGTTCTGCTCATTACCCTCCCTTTCGTCCCTCTCGTTCTGCTCATTACCCTCCTTTCCTCCCCTCTCGTTCTGCTCATTACCCTCCCTTTCCTCCCCTCTCATTCTGCTCATTACCCTCCCTTTCCTCCCCTCTCGTTCTGCTCATTACCCTCCCTTTCCTCCCCTCTCGTTCTGCTCATTACCCTCCCTTTCCTCCCCTCTCGTTCTGCTCATTACCCTCCCTTTCCTCCCCTCTCGTTCTGCTCATTACCCTCCCTTTCCTCCCCTCTCGTTCTGCTCATTACCTCCTTTCCTCCCCTCTCGTTCTGCTCATTACCCTCCCTTTCCTCCCCTCTCGTTCTGCTCATTACCCTCCCTTTCCTCCCCTCTCGTTCTGCTCATTACCCTCCCTTTCCTCCCCTCTCCTTCTGCTCATTACCCTCCCTTTCCTCCCCTCTCGTTCTGCTCATTACCCTCCCTTTCCTCCCCTCTCGTTCTGCTCATTACCCTCCCTTTCCTCCCCTCTCGTTCTGCTCATTACCCTCCCTTTCCTCCCCTCTCGTTCTGCTCATTACCCTCCCTTCCTCCCCTCTCGTTCTGCTCATTACCCTCCCTTTCCTCCCCTCTCGTTCTGCTCATTACCCTCCCTTTCCTCCCCTCTCGTTCTGCTCATTACCCTCCCTTTCCTCCCCTCTCGTTCTGCTCATTACCCTCCCTTTCCTCCCCTCTCGTTCTGCTCATTACCCTCCCTTTCCGCCCCTCTCGTTCTGCTCATTACCCTCCATTTCCTCCCCTCTCGTTCTGATCATTACCCTCCCTTTCCTCCCCTCTCGTTCTGCTCATTTACCCTCCCTTTCGTCCCCTCTCGTTCTGCTCATTACCCTCCCTTTCCTCCCCTCTCCTTCTGCTCATTACCCTCCCTTTCCTCCCCTCTCGTTCTGCTCATTACCCTCCCTTTCCTCCCCTCTCGTTCTGCTCATTACCCTCCCTTTCCTCCCCTCTCGTTCTGCTCATTACCCTCCCTTTCCGCCCCTCTCGTTCTGCTCATTACCCTCCATTTCCTCCCTCTCGTTCTGATCATTACCCTCCCTTTCCTCCCCTCTCGTTCTGCTCATTACCCTCCCTTTCCTCCCCTCTCGTTCTGCTCATTACCCTCCCTTTCCTCCCCTCTCGTTCTGCTCATTACCCTCCCTTTCCTCCCCTCTCCTTCTGCTCATTACCCTCCCTTTCCTCCAATCTCGTTCTGCTAATTACCTCCCTTTCCTCCCCTCTCGTTTCTGCTGATTACCCTCCCTTTCCTCCCTCTCGTTCTGCTAATTACCCTCCTTTCCCGCCCTCTCTTCATGCAATTGCCCTCCCTTTCCTCCCCTCTCGTTCTGCTCATTACCCTCCTTTCCTTCCCTCTCGTTCTGCTATTTACCCTTCCTTTCCTCCACTCTCGTTCTGGCTAATTACCCTCCCTTTCCTCCCCTCTCGTTCTGCTCATTACCCTCCCTTTCCTCCCCTCTCGTTCTGCTAATTACCCTCCCTTTCCCGCCCTCTCTTCATGCCAATTACCCTCCCTTTCCTCCCCTCTCGTTCTGCTAATTACCCTCCCTTTCCTCCCCTCTTGTTCTGCTAATTACCCTCCCTTTCCCGCCCTCTCTTCATGCCAATTGCCCTCCCTTTCCTCCCCTCTCGTTCTGCTCATTACCCTCCCTTTCCTCCCCTCTCGTTTCTGCTCATTACCCTCCCTTTCCTCCCCTCTCGTTCTGCTAATTACCCTCCCTTTCCTCCACTCTCGTTCTGCTCATTACCCTCCCTTTCCTCCCCTCTCGTTCTGCTCATTACCCTCCCTTTCCTCCCCTCTCGTTCTGCTCATTACCCTCCCTTTCCTCCCCTCTCGTTCTGCTCATTACCCTCCCTTTCCTCCCCTCTCGTTCTGCTGATTACCCTCCCTTTCCTCCCCTCTCGTTCTGCTAATTACCCTCCCTTTCCCGCCCTCTCTTCATTGCCAATTGCCCTCCCTTTCCTCCCCTCTCGTTCTGCTCATTACCCTCCCTTTCCTCCCCTCTCGTTCTGCTCATTACCCTCCCTTTCCTTCCCTCTCGTTCTGCTATTTACCCTTCCTTTCCTCCCCTCTCGTTCTGCTAATTACCCTCCCTTTCCCGCCCTCTCTTCATGCCAATTACCCTCCCTTTCCTCCCCTCTCGTTCTGCTCATTACCCTCCTTTTCCTCCCTCTCGTTCTGCTAATTACCCTCCCTTTCCTCCCCTATCGTCTGCTGATTACCCTCCCTTTCCTCCCCTCTCGTTCTGCTAATTACCCTCCCTTTCCTCCCCTCTCGTTCTGCTCATTACCCTCCCTTTCGTCCCCTCTCGTTCTGCTCATTACCCTCCCTTTCCTCCCCTCTCCTTCTGCTCATTACCCTCCCTTTCCTCCCCTCTCGTTCTGCTCATTACCCTCCCTTTCCTCCCCTCTCCTTCTGCTCATTACCCTCCATTTCCTCCCCCTCGTTTCTCTTTCCCCCCCCCCCTTCCTCGTTCTGCTCATTACCCTCCCTTTCCTCCCCTCTCCTTCTGCTCATTACCCTCCCTTTCCTCCCCTCTCGTTCTGCTCATTACCCTCCCTTTCCTCCCCTCTCTTCTGCTCATTACCCTCCCTTTCCTCCCTCTCGTTCTGCTCATACCCTCCTTTCCTCCCCTCTCGTTCTGCTCATTACCCTCCCTTTCCCTCCCCCTCTCGTCCTGCTCATTACCCTCCCTTTCCTCCCCTCTCGTTCTGCTCATACCCTCCATTTCCTCCCCTCTCGTTCTGCTCATTACCCTCCCTTTCCTCCCCTCTCGTTCTGCTCATTACCCTCCCTTTCCTCCCCTCTCGTTCTGCTCATTACCCTCCCTTTCGTCCCCTCTCGTTCTGCTCATTACCCTCCCTTTCCCCTCTCCTTCTGCTCATTACCCTTCCCCTTTCCTCCCCTCTCGTTCTGCTCATTACCCTCCCTTTCCTCCCCTCTCGTTCTGCTCATTACCCTCCCTTTCCTCCCCTCTCCTTCTGCTCATTACCCTCCATTTTCCTCCCCTCTCCTTCTGCTCATTACCCTCCTTTCCTCCCCTCTCGTTCTGCTCATTACCCTCCCTTTCCTCCCCTCTCGTTCTGCTCATTACCTCCCTTCGTCCCCTCTCGTTCTGCTCATTACCCTCCCTTTCCTCCCTCTCCTTCTGCTCATTACCCTCCCTTTCCTCCCCTCTCGTTCTGCTCATTACCCTCCCTTTCCTCCCCTCTCGTTCTGCTCATTACCCTCCCTTTCGTCCCCTCTCGTTCTGCTCATTACCCTCCCTTTCCTCCCTCTCCTTCTGCTCATTACCCTCCCTTTCCTCCCCTCTCGTTCTGCTCATTACCCTCCTTTCCTCCCCTCTCGTTCTGCTCATTACCCTCCCTTTTCCCGCCCTCTCTTCATGCCAATTACCCTCCCTTTCCTCCCCTCTCGTTCTGCTAATTCCCTCCCTTTCCTCCCCTCTCGTTCTGCTAATTACCCTCCCTTTCCACCCTCTCTTCATGCCAATTACCCTCCCTTTCCTCCCCTCTCGTTCTGCTAATTACCCTCCCTTTCCCCCCCTCTATATCTGCCAATTGCCCTCCCTTTCCCCCCCTCTCTTCCACTTGCCCACCCTTTCCTCCCCGCCCCTTCCGCTGACGTTTCAAGCCTGCGCCCAGCCCACGATCGCACGGCGGCCAATCCTGTCGGAGTTGGGGTGCAGCGAGGGGGAGGGCCGTGGGCGTCGACACTGGACGCGCGCTGTCCGGCTCGCCGCGCCCACACGGCCCGCGCGGGACCATCGCGACTCACCATGGCGGCGTCCGCTGCTCGCTCGCGCGGCCGTGATTGCAGCTCCAGCCGCGATTCCGACACCGGAGTCTTGGATCGCGGATCACTGTGGTGAAGGCGTTTCGTCAAGTGCAGAGGAGCCCTCAGGAAGGGGTGCGACGGCTGCCTGTCCGCGCGCGCCCGGATTTACGAACCCGAGCTTCCAGCTGTGAAGGCCTGGACCCAACGGATGGGCCCTCGTGTGCACAACCCTGCTCGGCTGGCGCGGAGCGGTGGCTACTGCTATGTGCTGGCAACTGCTGTGTGGTGTGTGGCGAGGGTGTGACTGACAACCTCAAGCCACCTTGAGATTTCAGCCACTCCTTTCACGACAATCACATGTCTACATGTCTGTTTCTAACAAACTTAACTGTTTCATTATCAAATCAACTTTTTTGAAGGCGCGAGGGAGATAGGTGCTTGTGAGAAAATGGTACGACCGTGAGAAACTCTTATGTAATGGTGTTAGTAAATAGATATCTGCACCCATAGATATATGATTAAAGCGAGCGGACAGACCAAACTCAAGACTCAAAGGTTTTGAGTGTACTACATACGAAAAAGGGCGCGACAGAAACACGGTAACCAAATACCCAACCGAGAGGTGTGATTTTGAGATTGGGGGGAGGTGACGGGCTATGCGACGCCCGCCCCCACTCAGCGACGGAACTGAAGAATTTGAAAGGTGGTGCAGGATGTCAAACATGTGTATTTGTCATGTTTGTATAGACTGTATAGGGTTACCTCTTAGAGGGTACAAGACTTAGGTATATCTGTGTGTACTCTCACTCTATCAACAACACTTCTCTGATTTTGATATGGTATCACGCGTAGGTTAGGATCCCCTTCCACCTACCGCTTCCGCTCGCCCCTCCTAGCCCCGTCGTGCCCCTAGTGTCAAACATGTGTAGTTATCATGTTTGTATAGACTGTATAGGGTCACCTTCTAGAGAGTACAACATTTAGGTATATGTTTGTGTACTCTCTCTCTCTTATTATTCAATTCTAGGTTTGTTATGGTATCACGCGTAGGTTTCGACCCCCCCCCCCCCCCCCCCACCTACCGCTTCCGCTCCTCCCGTCGCGTCTCCTAGCCTAGCCTCGCCCCTCCTGAGCCCAGTCGCGACCCCCCCCCCCCCTTCCCCCCCCCTAGCCCCGTCGCGCCCCTTCCAGGGCTTCGTAACGCCCCTCCAGGCCCCCGTCGCGCCCCTCCTGGGCTCTGTAGCGCCCCTCCAGGGCCCCGTCGCGCCCCTCCTGGGCCCCGTAGCGCCCCTCCAGGGCCCCGTCGCGCCCCTTAGCGCCCCTCCTGGGCCCCGTAGCGCCCCTCCAGGGCCCCGTCGCGCCCCTTAGCGCCCCTCCTGGGCCCTGTAGCGCTCCTCTCAGGCCCCGTCGCGCTCCTTCCAGGCCCCGTCGTGCTCCTCCCAGGCCCCGTCGCGCCCCTCCTGGGCTTGGTAGCGCCCCTCCCAGGCCCCCGTCGCGCCCCTCTCTGGGCCCCGTCGCGCCCCTCCTGGGCCCCTTAGCGCCCCTCCTGGGCCCTGCCGCGCTCCTCCCTGGGCCCCTTAGCGCCCCTCCTGGGCCCTGCCGCGCTCCTCCCTGGGCCCCATAGCGCCCCTGGGCCCCGTCGCGCCCCTCCTGGGCCCCGTTGCGACCCCCTCCAGGGCCCTGTAGTGCCCCTCCTGGGCCTCGTCGAGCCCCTCCTGGGCCCCGTCTCACCTGCTCGGCCCCGTCGCCCCAGCTCGGCCCCGTCGCAGCCGCTCGGCCCCGTGGCGCCCGCCCGGCCCCTGTCGCAGCCGCCCGGCCCCTGTCGCACCCGCCCGGCCCCGTCCCAGCCGCCCGGCCCTGTCGCAGCCGCCCGGCCCCGTCGCAGCCGCCCGGCCTCGTCGCTGCCGCCCGGCCCTGTCGCAGCAGCCAGGCCCCGCGTCGCGCCTGCCCGGCCCCGTTGCGCCTGCCCGGCCCCGTCGCTGCCGCCCGGCCCGTCGCAGCCGCCCGGCCCTGTCGCAGCCGCCCGGCCCCGTCGCAGCCGCCCGGCCCCGTCGCAGCCGCTCGGCCTCGTCGCTGCCGCCCGGCCCCGTCGCAGCAGCCAGGCCCCGCGTCGCGCCTGCCCGGCCCCGTCGTGCCGGCCCGGCCCCGTCGCGCCTGCCCGGCCCCGTCGCGCCTGCCGGTCCCGTCGCGCCTGCCCCGGCCCTACATACTTCCTGGTACTGTCCCCCCTTTCCCCACACCGCTTTGCACCCTCCTGCACTTCCCTGCCCCGCCTTGCACCGCATTGCACCTCAATGGACCGCACTGCACCGCACTGCACCGCACTGGACCGCACTGCATCGCACTGCACCGCACTACACCGCCCTGCACCGCACTGCACCGCCCTGCACCGCACTGCACAGCACTACACCGCACTCCACTGTCCTACACTGCCCCTGATGGCTGCTGAGCTTCGTTTTGATGCTGAGGGTCAGCCTCTGGAGTTCGAGGCGTGGTTGGCTGACCTCCGCCGCCACCTCACTGGTCAGCGGCAGGACGGCCACCCGCTTTCTGCCCACCTAGACGGTATGCTCCCCTGCCCTGACCCCCCTGCTGTGCTGCCCGCTGATCCCACGCCCGCTGAGCGCGAGTCCACTGCAGCCGCTGCCCTTGCCCGCTCTGTCTGGCTTTCCCGCGATGCCCTTGCTCAGCTCGCCATTAGCAATGCCCTCCCCCCCCTGAGCGCCCTCGCTTTAGAACCATTACTACCGCCCAGGCCTACCTCGATGCTGTCATCAAGCGCTATTCTACCCCTCCTGCTGCCTCGGTGGGTCGCCTGATCCTCCCCCTGCTCTTTCCTGACCTTGCGTCTTTCCCCACTGTCTCTGACCTCGCTGCCCACCTGCGCTCGATAGATGAGACCTGGCGCGCTGCCTGCACTGATGCACAGCTTAGAGTCCACCAGCCTCCCATGACCTCTACCCTCTACCTCCTTGCCACCCGCCTCCCTGACCGCCTTGCCGCCGCCCGCGACCAGTTCCTTAGCATCCACCCCGCTGCTCTCACCCTCACCGACTTTGTTGACACCCTGACTGTCATAGAGACTCGTCACCGCTCCATAGCCCAGGCGAGCGGTACAGTACCGGTCCCTATCTTTCAGGGTTGTGCCCCCGCTCAGTGTACCTTCTCCGACGGCTCTGTCGCTGTGGCTGAGACTGCTGCTGCAGTGCAGTCCCGCTCGGGGAAGGGCCGCCGCCCCAAGGTTGGGAGCGGCGGAGGCGGCGGGGGTGCGGGTGGGGGTAGTGGTGGAGTCGCGTCGTCCGGTGCCGGTGCAGACGTGGGGACCCTGCCCGGTCCAGCTGCCCCCCTGCCTCCACAGTTGCAGCAGCAGCAGCAGCAGCAGTCGCCGCAGCCGCAGCCTTCGCAGCAGCCGCAGCAGCCGCCGCAGACGAGGCAGGCGAGTGCTCTCCCGCCTGGGTGGCCTGAAGCTGGTGGTGGTCGTGCGCGTGGTGGTGCACCGGGTGGTGGTTCTGGAGGCGGGCCCTGTCAGTACCAGATCCAGACCGGTCCTCGCCGCAGCTTCATTTGCGGTAAGATCGGTCATTCCACTCCTCGCTGTTTTCGTCGTCTGGACGACCTGTTCCGTCAGCGCTTTGGCCCGGCGCCCGACCTCCCGGACTGGCACAGCTTGCTTAGGCGTAGCATTCGGATTTTTGACTTGGACATGGATGCCATTGTAGCAGCCTTGCATGTGATGTATGCTGATGACTCTAGTGTGCTTCCCTCTTATTACCCCGTGTTGCCTAGCGTAGCTGTGCCTAGCGTAGACTCCCCTGCTGCGTCAGGCGTAGGATCTTCTGCTTTGCTTAGCCTCGGTGCTTCCACCGCTTCACTGCCGCCCTGCGCGACTGCTGCGCTTTCCTTCACCTTGGACTCTGGCGCCTCCCGGTGTTTCTTCCGCGACTCCACGACGCTGACGCCGCTGCCTGTTCCCGCCGCAGTTACTCTTGCTGACCCCTCCGGTGGTCCCGTCGTTGCCCGCAGTTCCACCTCCCTTCCCTGTCCGGCGGTTCCTTCAGGTTCGCTCACCGGTCTGCATATCCCCTCATTCTCCAGGAACCTAGTTGGTGTCGGCTGCCTCCAGGACCTTGGCGTCACCACTACGTTCCCTTGTCACGAGCGGTATGCTGTCTGTACCGAGGCCGCCACTGGTGCCCCCCTTACCACTTTCCCCCGGGACCCGGTGTCCGGCGTGTTCACACTTGACACCGCGACTTCCCCGGCTGGGTCTTCCCCCCAGGTCGCTGCGTCCACCCAGGTTGCTGCTGCGTGCTCCTGTCGGTCCCTCACTCACCCGACTCTCCTTTGGCACCACCGCCTTGGTCACCCTGCACTCCCGCGTCTGCGTCACATGTCCCAGCACGGTCTCGTCCTTGGTCTCCCCGGTTCGTTCCCCGACTTTCCCTCCTCCCCCGCCCCCCTGTGCACGCCTTGTGTCGAGGGCCGGCTCCGCCGTGCCCCTCACTCCTCCTCTTTTCCCCATACCACCGCCACCACTGCAGACTCTGCACATGGACGTCTGGGGCCCAGCCCCGGTCCATGGGCCGCGTCGCGAGCGCTTCTTCCTAGTGCTTGTCGACGACTTCACGCGCTACACCACAGTCTTTCCCCTGGAGCGGAAGGCCGACGTGCCTGACGCTCTCATCCCCTGGCTTGTCTCTGCTCGTGTCCACCGCGGTCTCCCTGCCTTGCGCCTCCACTCCGACCGGGGTGGCGAGTTCGCCTCAGGTGTCCTTGGTCGCTTCTGTCGTGCGGAGGGCATCACCCAGACGTTTACCCTGCCGGACTCCCCGCAGCAGAATGGGGTCGCTGAGCGACGCATCGGTCTGGTCATGGAGGTGGCTCGCACCTCCATGATCCACGCCGGTGCACCCCATTTTCTGTGGCCGTTCGCCGTGCGCTACGCCGCTCACCAGCTTAACCTGTGGCCGCACCCCCAGCGGCCGCAGGTTTCGCCGACCCTTCTGTGGACCGGGTCCCCTGGTGACGCGTCTGCGTTCCACGTCTGGGGCTGCCTTGCTCACGTTCGTGCCTCTGGCACGGACAAGCTCACTGCCCGCACCCTCCCCTGCGTCTTCCTCGGTTTCCCCCTTG